GCTATGCTAGAAATCAAACATGTCAGAGGGGGTCTAACTTACCATGATAAATCAAAATCTACCATGATAAAAAGATGTCAAGATATACTTTCAAACATGACTAACCTAGCAAAATGGTAATTTTTGGTGCCATTTTGTGACATGTTTTCAAACAACACTGTGGCAGAGCACCAGTGGGGTGCTTGCCACTTTTAGGGCTATTACAGGCTTAGGGGGAGCCTGTTTTTCTGAGCAGCAGGGAAAAGCCTTCCCTCCTAAACATTGTAAGGTGCTCTGCCACTTTAAGATCTGGATCAGGCAGCAGGCAGGTGCGGCTCAGTCCTGACGAGTGGCCATCTTAAGCCCTAGGCCAGCAGGGCTGGAGGCAGCAGTTTGCTGCCAGACACCAAGGAAGCAACATCTCCTGAAGGAGCTGCTGCTCTGAGAACAGAGAGGAGGTAAGGGCAGGAGCTATGGGGGATGGGTTGTAGGCTTCTGGTCCTGGGCATGGCCTAAAACTGCACCCTGCCAGGATAGGGAGGCCTGGTGGTCCTGCCTGTGGCAGGTAAATGCCAGGTTTGAGGACCATCCCGGTGAAAGGCAGGTTGGGGTGCCTAAAACCCTGCCCCCACCATCCGGTGGGTTACATGATAACAACCAAGGGGGTAATGGGGCCAGGGATGTCCATATGGGACACCTGAGCCCTTCGGGGTGCAAGACCCCGAAGGGGCGTAGTGAAGGCCAGGTAAGATTTGAGACGCGCCTGAGCCTCAAGGGGTGGAAGGCCCCATGACAGGAGCAGTTGAGGCCCTGGAGAGAGGGCGTGAGTTGTGGGCCAGGCATGCTGATGAGGAGCACCTGAGTCTGCAGGGGTGTTAGACCCCAGAGTATGGGGTGCAGTAGAGAGTGGCCGTGGTGAAGCCCTGGGAGTGGGGCACAAGTTGGGGCCTTGTAGGCAGGGGCTTGAGTGGAGGTCCTGCTAGCATGGGGGCCTGAGTTAGGTCCAGATAAGCCTTCAGGCACCTGAGGCCACAGGTGGGCTGGAGGCCGATTGGAGGGTGGCAGAGGAGGAGCCACAAGGAGAACAAGGGGGCGAGCTATCAGCCCCTTGATGGAGAGCAGCTGGGGGGAGTTACCTGGCTATGAGACCAGAGGCAGAGTCAGCACAGCATTTTTTAACTGCCCAGTGTTCGCTCAGATGAGGGTAGCAGGAGATGCCCAAAAGGCCGCAGACTTGCTGGCCGGAGAGTGAAACGTAGCAAGCCTGTGGACCCTCTGGGTGAGGGCAGAGTGAATGTGGTCCCCAGGAGAGAAGGGGCGGTACAAGCGAGGCCCAGGAAGGGCGGGATGAAAGAGACCAGGTGAGAGCAAGAGGCCTCTGTGAGAGGGAGGTGGTATGAGTGTGGCCCTAGCAGAGCAGAGTGAAAGAGATTCAATGCTATGACGAGTTGGACCCGGCCTCAGGCTGGAGCTTAGCACAGCTGTAAGCAACATCTGCAAGGCATGGGGTTGTAGGAGCATTTACTTTTGGCCCCTAGACATCAGGGCCTTCAAAGGGCAGCCTCCCACCTAGCAATGAATTACTTAACAGCAAGGCATGGCAGGAGAGAGTGGCAGGTGGTGTGCCCAGAAACAGTGGGAGACTAGCACTGTGGTGATGTGGGCTATCCCCAACCAGTATTAGAAATATCAGTCATTGACATTAGTAGCCATAACAGGGAGCAAAAGTTTTTAAGCCAGATGAACAGCTTTGCAAGGAACAGAATTGTTGACACAGCAGCATGGTCTTTATGTAACAGTGCAACCTGCTGAAAAGACTCTGCTGAATGCACTAAACAGTTCCACCAAGTTCCTTGGTACTAGGGGACACATCTACAAGTGCACTAGTATGCACTAGTTACTGTGCATTAAGTTTAGTACCTGTAATAACAGGTACTAGATGTGCAGTAACTGGTGCTGCTGTGCAGTAGTGCTGGCACGTATCTTTTTAGTCATGCTAATGTACAATAGACTAGTTCTATTCCACAATAGCATGGCTTTTGCTGTGACACACTAATGTGCAGTAGAATTAGTCTACTGTGCATTTAGCATCTCATGTAGACATGCCCAGGAAATTATACATTAGTTCCCTGAAGATCATCTCTGGCACAACCCAACTGCTTCCGCACTAGCCAGACCCATTCCCCAATACTCTCTCAGTTTGAGATACAAAAAATAATATAAAGCGGCACCAGCACCTTGTAACTCTCTTGTAAACTGTTTGAAGTGTTTTATACCTCTCCACGTTACTACACAGAAGAATGAAGACCACGAATATGGAACATTCTCCATGAGCCAAGAGCTACATACCACATTTAGTCTTCATGCATAAGGCTACTAACATTTGTTCTCTTAACAGAAAAAATTGCAGGAGCTCAGAAAGCCCTCCACATTACTCATTACTTCTGAGATGCTGCAGTTAGTGAAGATTCTTAAGGTATAGGAGCTTGAAATATCATAACAGAATCTGAACTTCAAGGCAACTTTTTAACCCATTACAGATTAGAAATAAAACTAAGAGAATTCCATGAATATCCTCACAAAAGCCAAACTTTACTCATAAATGCAACTGCACTGACTATCTTTCATAAGAAGGAAGGAGGTATAACTCTCACATTAAATACAAAATAGTACCCAATATTAATGACTTTAGCTACTCCATGACGGCTATATATATATATTCTTAAAACCTCATTTAAAGATATTTCACCCAGAGTTTTATTGCGTTAGCTAGTAAGTGAACCATTAGGAAAATAAATGGACTCCGAATACTCTACAGAAGACAGCCTGGTCCCTCTAGTTATTTTTAAATGTATGCTGACTTCCATAGTAAGAAGATGTCTCTACAGAACTGAAACTAGGCATTGCAAAAAAGACATCCCAAGGGGTTCACGCGTATTCATGCAAGTCCGTGTTTTTTGTTAATATTTGATTTACTTACATAATCTTACCTAGAGTCATAACAGACTAACCTTTTACAAGTGGGGCTCCATAGTGAGGGCATTTGTGTCCCATTGCATAATATTCTCCATTCTCCTTTATCAACAGAGCCTTCCCACAGCCCAGGTCAACTTCTCGCATCCTAGGGATAAAGAACATGAGAAATACAGCAACTGAGCTAGCAGCAGGGATCCCAGTTTTCTCTGTCAAAAATTCCAGAATTCTCTAATTAAACCCCCCCAATCTGTTTTTTTTTGCCATTAAAATGAAATGCCACTAATATATAGGTATCAGCTGAACACTATGTTTTATTGATACATTTACAATTTGAAAGCAATTTGGAAGCTTACCAGTGCCTCAATCATTATAATAAAATACATTCTAAATACCTATATATTTTTAATTTGGGTTTTTTTTATCATGGAAAACTCAAAACTCCCTCTGCCCCCTTCATTCACCAAGACATGGGTCCAGCTGCAGCGGTCCTCCAGATACTTTGTGGTGCTGAGCAGCCCTGATATGCTGGTACCCCTCATTCCCAAGCCATAGCCCCCCCTAACCCTGCTGGTGCCCCTCACTCCCAACCTGTAACCCCCCATCCCTCTCAGTGCCCTTTACTCCCAAGACAGTTTTTCACCTCCTTTAGCCCTGCTAGTGCCTCTCACTCCCAACCTGCTGTCTCCTGCAGGCCCAAGTCCCTCAGTCTGTGGGGTGTGGGAGTGTGTGCAGGGCAGGGGGGAATGCCCAACAATATGCAATAGCATAGGCACCATGTTGGGGAGGCATGGGGGAGCACATGCCTCCCCAACATGGTAGGGGGAGCTATGACTTTGGTCACAATCATTGGAGGCAGTGGAGGAAAGGAAGGCATGCCCCATCAGACATCACACTGCTTGACTATAGGTACAGTAAAAGGAAGCTTCTGCAGGGCCTGAAGGTAGGAGGTGTGCACCTGGTTACAGATGCAGCTAGGCCTTGCCACCCCACCCCCCATGCAAGTGGAGGCACAGAACACCTGCAGAGACCCAATGCCATCCTGCCCAGAGAAACCCCAGTATCTATATCTGGAGGTTGTCCGTGACGCTCATAGACATCATGAAGTCAGCACTCAAGATCCAGGGAATAGAAAACTAGATACAGGGAGCCAGAAGCCCAGGACTAGACAGAAAATTATCTATCTTATTAAGTAGCCTGTTGGGCACCAAAAGGGCTGCTGCTTGAAAACTGGCAGTCATGTCCAGCAACCAACTAGGCTAAGTGGGTAGTTAGGCCACTGGCAACCAGGCCAATTCAGGTAACTAGGGTAGGGGGTGGCAATTTGGCTAGCCTGCTGCCCTGGCCCCTGACACAATACCATGAGCTCCCAGCATGGTATGGTAGCTAAAAGAGCAAAAATGTGCTCTCTGGATTATTCCTACAATCAAGTAAGAATAGACTGGATGCTACAACCAGTTCTGGTATTCACGTTATGAAAAACGATGTTGAAAAATCTTGAAGGGGCTGCAAGGATTGAGGTGAGGGCTAGAAAACATGTTTTACAGAGAGAGAAAAAATAATCAAGAAGTTTGGTCTAGCTAGTTTATTGAAGTGTAAGACATGATTTTATCAGTTCTGTGAGGAAAAAAAGATTCTGATACCAGAGAGCTCTTTAAATTGACAGCCAAATGGAGACCAAGGCTCAACAGGATGTTGTAGCTTGATAAATTCTGATTGGAAACAAGGTCCAAATGGCTAACACTGAAGGATTAACCCTTGAAACCACTTACCTAGAGATAAGATTTTAACCTCAAGAGATATGCAATCCACCTTATTTCACTTTTATGTGCCTAAGTGGCACTAAAGAAGGGGTAGTCACAAGATTACAGGGAATGTCTACTTGTGCATTAGAAGTTGGCTCAGAGATAGAGCAAGAGCAATAATAAAGAGCAAGTATAAGTGATCAGTTTTCATGATGGAAAGAAATAAATAGTGGGGTCCCCTAGGGATCTGTTTTGAGACCAGTGCTGTTTAGCATATTAATAAATGATCAGGAAAGGGGCAAGTAGTGAGCATGAACGATGCGT